ATCATCGATAAGAATGGAGACTGTTTCATTTAATAAATGTTTTGTTTTGATATATAAGTTGTTCAGGTTTTTTCATCTAAATAAAAGGGACATTAATTTCTTAACGACCTAATAAATATATACATACATACATACATAGAATTTTCTTGAAATTATAAGTGTTTTGAGAAATAAAATAAACTTGAAAGTTAACATGTAGCTCTCAGTTTTTATATTAAAAAAATAACTGAATTATTTTTAAATTAACACTTCTCTACATATTTAGATAACTGTGTTGGAATTTTCATCAACTTCCAGTACAAGTTCCATGAGGGTAGATACCTTGTAAAGTTGCACAGAAATGTAAAATTGTCTTGGATTATCTCAAGAACCAAATTAGATTTAGTGTTTGTGGTTTTTGTTATGTTTTGAATTTAATAACCAAAGTTGTTTAAATATTAAGTATTATTCATAGATTTGTCTGTCAATTTAAATATAGTTGAAAAAAGGGGGTATCTTATGTATTGTATATAGGTTATTGTGGGTAGCCTTTACAACTCGCTTATTTTGATAATAGGAGACATTTTTAAGTATTTCTTAAACTTTCCAACAATTTGAACTTGTCAGTCGATACTAAAATCAATTTAATTTTTCTTACAACTTAGTTGTAGAGTAAAAATTTATTTCTACTATGTTTATACCAATCACAAAAATGGTCTTTACAAATGAGTATTTGTTTAACAGAAACGTTAAACTTTCCTCTACGAACTAGTCCTCCTCACAGTCGTGCAACATCCCCTCTTGATCACGATCCAGAAACAGGATACAAACTCTGGCACTTAGTAAGTAAATATTTGTGTTTTAAGCTTTTTTATCTCTTGCAGTTGATAAATTTGGTACATCCATTTTAATACACAAGTCAAGTGTATAGCATTTACGTTTTTTAGAATAAAGCTCTTACATAGCGATGTATCATAGTTGGACAGAATATACATAGTTTTCACATTTTTTAACAGGTTTTTGACATTTATTAAATCAACAGTTTTTGTAAAATGCAGTGCTTTTCACAGACTTATGAAAAGATTAAAAACGTAATTGTTCATTCACAAACATTTGTCATTTGTATCATAGTTGGACAGAATATACATAGTTTTCACATTTTTTAACAGGTTTTTGACATTTATTAAATCAACAGTTTTTGTAAAATGCAGTGCTTTTCACAGACTTATGAAAAGATTAAAAACGTAATTGTTCATTCACAAACATTTGTCAAAATTTCTTAATGCATTGTTACTAAACCATTATTCTTGGATTTGTTGATGGGCTTGAAGTTTGCAGAAAGTAACTTCAACTGTTCACGTCTACAGTCTGCTTTAATGTAAGATTGTCTGCAAAGCTACAATCCACCTCAAATTCAAAACAAAATACTTGAAAAAGTATTATGTATAGTATGTTAGTAAAAAAAAAAACTTTTAGGGTGTTTTAAAGCTATTTTCCTTGTTTCTGAAGGTTAAACATCATAGTACAGAACCTAAGGAAGGGGACAGGGGGCACAAAATGGTGTCTGAGATTTACCTTACTCGTCTCCTGGCTACTAAGGTAAGTTTGTGGTCATCTTAAAATGTGATACTGTCTTAGATTCCTATTCTTCAATTTTAAAGTTTTAATAACATGATGTAAATTCTTTCTTTGAGCTGAAATCAGATGATCTGATTATAAACATACAAATTCCTTGCATGTAAAAAAAGTGGCTCACTTTTGAACACTTCAACTTAAGTTTTTCAGGAAGACAACATATAAAAGTTTTATGTTTCGTCTTGTTGACAGTTAGAAAAAATTAAGTTTTTTAAAAGACAGCCTTCCAGAAAAATTACAAATTGATCATTTTGTTGGCATAATTAATTTGAACAAAGAAAATGCAGCTAAAATCAGTTAAAACACTCACTTCATTTTAAGCATATTGCAATACCTTGAATCAAATCACTATTTGCATTTCATTCAACTGTCATAGCTAGTGTGTATGAAAAGTCAACTTACATCTTACAGAAATTAACATGACTTTTTGTGTAAAGGTAACTTTATAACTTATTTAATTAAATAACTGTTTTTCAGTTCTGATGGGAAGTAAATAGTGATCTTTAATAATAATAAAAAATGTTTTTGTAACATCTTCAAATCAATTTACTGAAATACTTTCTTAAATCTTTAGGGCACATTGCAAAAATTTGTTGATGATCTGTTTGAGACCATCTTCAGCACAGCTCACAGAGGAAGCACACTGCCAATTGCCATAAAGTACATGTTTGACTTCTTGGATGATCAAGCACTAGACCATGGGATATCTGATGATGAAGTTGTACACACGTGGAAGTCCAACAGGTCAGTTTTTTAATGAAACTGTTAAACATCATGCACGTTTTTTAGTATTCACTATATCAACATCTTGTTAATTCTTCTCTGTCCTTACCCTGTAGAAATTTACATCTTGTAATGAGCTCTCGTTATGGTTTGCAATCAAATTCTACCTATTGTAGAAATATTTTGGTAACATTATGGGTTTTGATTTACTGTTTTTATTAATGTTTTCCACCTGCCATCTTACCTTTACAGCCAAAAAATAGTTCTACAATTTGACCAGAAATACTGCCAATGATAAATTTAATCTGGCGTGTTTAAAGAAAGGTTGACTGTAGTTATGTCACTGATAGCATCTGTATGCAGCCTGACATTTCTGCTGTATCAAAATGTATTTTGCTTCACAATGGCAAAAAATATTTACATTATTTTGCTCAGCTTTATATTTGTGTGGATAAATTTTTGAATATTTGAATTAATTTTTGAATTGTATTAGTTTTGGCTGTAAGAGTAAAAATCGAGTAATTGTAGGTAACAATATGCAGTTATTCTAGAAAGAAAAAAGGAAATTTTTATTTATTTAATTTTTTTTGTTGTTGTTGTTAACAGTTGGTTAAATGTACCAAGAATGTATAGTCTTAAGCCAGAGAAAATAACAGATGAAATATAAAGTTTTAATGAAAAGAAATTTAGGATGTTCTAAAGGTTATGGAAGTAGAAATGGAAAAAAGTATTTTTAAACTTAACATGAAAATCATCTTGCACTCAGACTAGTCACTCTGATTTCATAAATTCAGACAATTTTTTTGTAAAAACTCTTAACTAAATAATCTAATTTTGAATGTACAAAAGATTTGTAATGTTTACTACAAGTTTGTCCAATTTTGTGAAGATACATTTACTATTATATTAAAAGTTATAGTATGTACTAGACCACCCGTGACCCGTTGGGTCACCCACTATTCAGAGTTTTTGAAAAATTCCAGCTAATTTCAATATTGCGTTGAAATTAAGGTTTATTTTGAGATAATTTAAATATATATTTCAATCCATTCGTGTTATTCATAACTCAAGAAAAGATATTTGATTGTTGATCGGGAGTAAAAGGAAAGACCATTTCATTTTTCAAAAAAGTGAAGTCAGAGTTTTCAGGTATAGTGATGAATTAGTTCATTATGTTGTGGTCTTTCCTCTTAAACCTTCTACAAATAAGAAACAATAACACTTTATTTGTTCATCGAATTAACTACCATAACCAAGGCACA